CCCTTGCCCCTTTATAATCTGTCCATTTTTCTCTTAATCTTTTGCCCCCTTGCCATGTGTCCCTTGTCTATCCTTTTGCCCTTTGTACATTATCATCAGTCCTTTTGTCCTTTGTCTCATTTATCATCTATACTTTTGTCCTATCTCCCTTTATCATATGTTTCTTAGTCCCTCTATCATCTATCACAAGTCCCATGTCCATCTTATCATATCCCTTTGTCTTTTCTCTTTTATCCTTTTACCATCTGTCTCATTGTCCTTTCATCCTATCTCCCTATCTCATCTTTCTTTGTCCACTTATCATCAGTCCCTCTGACTCTCTCTCCATTTCTCCTATGTATTTATTTATTGAAAAATTTCAGCCGTGTCAACATCTAAGTCATTAGTGGTGTATTCAAAATAAAGTGATAGTATGAGGCTGGGGGTAAAGCCCGCAGGTAAGGAAGTGCTATATGACGTCAAAGGTCATATGGAGCTGATGGGATATAGTGTAAGGTAAAGGTTGTTAGAAGGGGAAGTTATTCAGGAAATAGGGAGCATTATGATAAAGTATTGGGGCGAAAATGGCAAAAATAAGTTAACGGTAATGAAAGTGGACAGAACAAGGGGATGAAGAAAAGGAAAAGGAAAGGAGGAGAAGAAAAGACCATGCAAAATTGGATCAAGTGAGGGCTGAGAACCAAGGAAGGGATGGGGTTCTCCTCTGTCCATTTGTCCTTTTATCATCTATCTCTTTATCACATATATACATTTTTCCATATTTCATTTGTCCCTTTGCCCTTTGTCCATTGATCATGTGTCTCTGACCTTAACCTCTTTATCAATTTTCTCTTTGTCCCATGTTACTTTACCATCTGTCCTTTGTCCCTTTATCATATTCTCTTTGTCATGTATCTTTCCCCTTTGTCTTATGTTACTTTATTCTCTTTCCCTTCTGATCCTTTTCCCCCTTGTCCCTTTATCATGTCCAGTTTTTCCTTTTGGCTCTTTATCATCGGTTCTTTGTAATTTTATCATTTGTCTTTTTATCCTCTCTCCTTTATACTTTTACCACTACCATATGTAGCTAAATTCCAAGCATCCATAGCATCTGGTGGCATTGTGTATTAAACTCTATGTGAAATTCTGAGATATAACTAGTCTGTTAGCATTAAACATTTTCTCTCAGTTGTGGTAGCTTTTTTGTCTAATTAAGGTCAGTTCATTTGGCTAGAAGGGGAATCTAATACTGAAGAAAAATGATTACATACACATCTAAAACTGTCCTCTTCTCCAAAGCCAACTATAAGGTAATTAAGTGATGTGCTTATTTGGCATTTCCAGTCTGCAGAAGACAAGTTATTTGTACAAGTATTTATATATATATTTTTTTATTATCTCCTTTATTTGTTTTTTTGATAATTTCAAAACCTTTTCATCACCAGGAAGACTAGTGAGCAATGTATCAATTCTCTGTTTAATGAATGTGCATATGCATAAGCTAATTTTACATTTCATTAACATGTAGTAAATTAATTTTTTCCATCTCAGTAGACTCTCAAAATAAAGAAATAAACACATTGCTCTTAACCCAATGTTGCCAGGGAAAATGAATAAAAAATGGGGGAAATGCTGTGCTCATTTTCTATATTTTTTGTGAAATGTCTTGGCACATAGATGGCTCTGCTAGTGCGTACCCACAAAGGAGTCAATTAGTAGATCTTGTGATCTTACGTGATTTGAATTGGCGGGAAAAATTTATTTTTTACTAGTGCTATGAATATTGATGGTGTTATCTTTATTATAAACATTATAATTACTATAATGTTATAAACATTAGTAACAGCAAAATAAAATGTAAAATGTTTTCATAAATCAAAGAAAAGGGTAAATGGGCGAGACAGGCAATACTCATAATTGGTTCATTGGTGACTTAGTAGAAATGTAGCCATCTACATGTAAAAACAATCAAACAAGTAACTCACAGGGGGCATAGCATGTATGTACACGTCATGTCCATTGGCATTGGGTTAAACAGTGTATTCTAAATATAATAAAATATAATGAAGAGAACAAAACATCAAATGAGGATAGGGCATTTATTTATGACTTACACAGAATTCATCCAGTTCAGACAAAAATATATTTCTTATTAATCGTAACCACCTAACACATCCCTAACCTGACTCTACTAGTAAAAAACTAAACTATACCTGCTAGCGCCCAACATCCCAGAATAATGTAGAACTCTAATACTCTTTACTGCCAAGCAACCATTCACAAAAACAACTGTTTATTTGATCACTTCTGCAGAAAAATGTGGAAAATGAAAAGTCTGAGTACATCTGTGTGTTTATGATGAGTCAATGTGTAGTGGAAAGTGCCTGTATGCATGTGAATATTTATTTATAAACTAATATGCTTATGAAGAACTCTATGTTTCTATACATGTCTGTAAAAATGTCTGTTCAAAGTGTCTGGAAGCATACCTGTAAGCTTGTGTACAAGTATATCTTAACAC